GGTATGTGTTGGGGGGTGTGTGTGTGTGTGTGGTTTCCACGTAGTTTGTAAGTTCTCCCCCCCTGCACCCCGCCATCAGCCCGGGCGGGGTTTCCTCACAGGGGGGTCGGTGAAGGATATATCCCCCCACTATTCCTGACCGCTCCCTCCGTGACTGAACTAACCCCACTTTGAATGGTGGCTGCTGAGTAACCGGCTTTACAGCGCCCCGCAGCCGGTCCCCACCCCAAATTGCAGCACTTGGGCGGGGGTTTGCTGTTCTATGGGCTCCTTCCCATGCCTGTGCCTCCTTCGCTATGCAGGTGAAGGGAATTGCACTCAGCCTCCGTGTGTGGGTCCCTTAGCAGATAATCTCGGGCAGTTTAAAATACCCCTCTCTGTTTTGTTTGTTTGTTTGTTTTCTATTGTCACGTTTATGTAACAAGTGCCTGCCTGCACATTTAGGCTGGTGTTGCCGTCTAGGGCGTTGCATGCTCTGGGGGTGCTGTGTCCAGTGCTGTGTCTGAACATTAAAAAACATGTCTTTCTGTTGGAGAAGACAGGGGTTAAAATGAATGAAGATCTGAAGGTTAATTTGAGCTGGCTGCCTCAGGATCATGTAGAAGCCAGCTCTACCGAGAATGCCTCAGCCACAGGCTCCTCCCTGGTTCCTGTCGTAGACCCAGAGCCAGAGCTTTTGGTAAACCCCTGGGACATTGTCTTGTGTACTTCAGGGACCCTTATCTCCTGCGAAAATGCCGTTGTGGTTCTTATCATTTTCCATAATCCCAGTCTTCGTGCCCCCATGTTCCTCCTGATAGGCAGCCTGGCGCTGGCAGATCTCTTAGCAGGCATTGGATTGATCATCAATTTCGTTTTTGCATACCTTCTGCAATCAGAAGCTACGAAACTGGTTACGATTGGACTGATTGTTGCCTCTTTCTCAGCATCTGTCGGCAGCTTGCTGGCTATTACTGTTGACCGTTACCTCTCCCTGTATTATGCTTTGACTTACAATTCAGAGAGGACTGTCACTTTTACCTATGTCATGCTTATATTGCTCTGGGGAGCATCTATCTGTGTTGGACTGCTGCCTGTAATGGGCTGGAACTGCCTCAGAGATGAATCCACCTGCAGTGTTATCAGACCACTCACTAAAAATAATGCAGCTGTTCTTTCAGTCTCTTTCTTGCTTATGTTTGCCCTCATGCTGCAGCTCTACATTCAGATCTGTAAAATCGTGATGCGCCATGCCCATCAGATTGCCTTGCAACACCATTTCCTGGCCACTTCCCACTATGTGACCACCCGAAAAGGAGTGTCTACTTTGGCCATTATTTTGGGGACTTTTGCTGCTTGCTGGATGCCTTTTACGCTCTATTCTTTAATAGCAGATTACACCTACCCTTCTATATACACCTATGCCACCCTCCTGCCAGCTACCTACAATTCCATCATCAACCCTGTAATATATGCTTTTAGAAACCAGGAGATACAGAAAGCACTTTGGCTCATCTGTTGTGGCTGTATTCCTTCTAACCTGTCTCAGAGAGCAAGATCACCCAGTGATGTCTGATTGGCAGCTAGGAGGACGCTCCTTAACGTGTCACTTTCCAGGCGTTCTCGCGATGCTGTCTTTGGTCTAGATGTATTCATTAAATGGTGTGTGATGGTTTCATATAAAAACCACAGGATGCACTGACCTTTTTATAAACACAAAACCCCAGTGACCAAAATGAATCGAATGGTTTAAGGGAGATTTCTAGAATCAAAATCATCAGTGTTCTCACAGATTTATAATGTTGCTCAGGGTCTTTTTGTTATGTTACCCAGACTTTGTCATGTTTGTCATGATTTTACATTAAGTTTGTTAATTAAAGGTAGATTGAAACAGCATACCTCCTTTGAAATTGTTTGTATAATGGAGTTTAGTCATACTACATGTTACAGCCTATTGTCAGGGTATTTTTTTTTCCCTCTTTAATTTTTAAAACAGGAGAAAAGAAAAAAAGAAATCCCAAGTCCTGTTACCACATTGGTGTATCATCAGAATACTCTTCAAAGTAATGGCCAATTGTACTGTTTCATATGGTATTTATTGTCATAATCTCAGTGCAACAAATTTGCTCTGAGGAAGTAACTGTATAGCTTTTTCTTTTACATCTTTGCATGAATTAGCTTGGTGATTGTATTAAAGGGTTACCTATTCTTTCCTGAGCTCTGCTGGATGTTAAGACAGAAGCTATGCTTTGCCTTCCCTTTCAAAAGTCAGTCATATGTTGCCACTTAGGTAGGGGACATTAGAGCTCATTATACTATTAATTTTAAAAGGAATTCTGGAGGGATCCTCAAAATTTATGAAACGATACGGCCTCTCCTCAGACAAGTTTATCTTTTTAGAAGCATATAAGAAAATGTCTAATAAAACAACCCGTGAATTCTTGCAGTGTGTATTTAGCATCAGCCCTAAACGGTTCCCGTTAAGTTTGTTATCAAGTCAAAACTATTGCTACTTGTTTTCATTGTTGTTCTTATGTAATCTAAAATACTGGCATTTATAAATTCTCAGAGCATATCTGGTTCATAATTGTATGCAACCAGAACTGCAACACGAAACTATTTTCTCCTTTTCTGGCAGTTTCATCCATTACAGATTGTCATTCTTCGCACCGTACGTATGTCAGTTCACTTCATTGTAGGCCAACAGTTCTGCTCTAAAAAGCAGAGCTTCCTCTCACGAATGGTTAAATTTCAAACCACTTCTAACCTTTTTACTGGAGCCACATTAGAATGCACTAGAAATAATATTTCATTTTCTGATTTGAAGACATGATTGTCAGAGGGGAAATCTTCCTGACAGATGTTTTCGTGAAACTCGAAGTGTACCCTAATGTCAGTCAGCGCATAGGAGTTCATGGTACCATTTCCACTAGTGCTGATGGGAGCTCAGCGTGTTAATGCCCTGCCATCGGTAGGAGGTTATATTATTTCAAGTGTCAAAGTCAGCGTACTGTATTGTTGCTTCAGTATCTTCCATTACAGTTTAAATAAAACCAACAAACTCAAGTGTAAAAATAGCAATATTTACAGTTCAGTGAAAAATATACCTGTATAGTATAGATAGTAGAGACAACTGTGTTGCTGGTCTGGATTTTTCCAAATGGAATCTGTCCTTTTCATGTGGACATTTGAGTGACTGTAGCTTTTTGTGGCAAAGTTTCTGTGACGTGAAGAACCATATGCTATACACAAAGCTGAATCTCAAATGTGAATGAGTTGTCTGTAAACAAGGCTCTGTAGAGGTTTTTATGAGCAATAATTAATTTCAGTTGCAATGCTGGGCTCAAATTCCATTATTTACTTGGTTCAACCTTCATGGTATTTGGTTCATACTTTGTAATCTGATTAGTTTAATAATTGCATGGCATAGTCCAGTAGAGCTGTGAACTTGCAGCTCCCTTGGCTTCACTGCAATTTGCAGATGCTCAGCACAGTTAGACTGTGACCCCTGCTCAGTGTAGGATATTGATGTTCTTTATCTACTTCTGACTGCTAACGAAACTCTGGTAATTGCATTTTGGTACAAATTTTTGTATAAGAAACAGCCACTTCATAAATATCCGTGCTATGTATGCAAGCAGTTTTGCAAGTATGCAAAGTGTTGGAAATAAGCAGCGGTAAAAAAGTCATGAGCTGAATAATATAGAGAAGCTGAATAATGTAGAGTGGTACTTTTAAAAGCAAGAAATAAGTTAGTCATGCACAGTTGAGCCCTCTTCATCCTTTTCCCCCCAGTTGTTCTTCTGTATCAAATCACTAAGAAGTGCAATGAAGATGAGCAGCTACAACTGTGACCAGAATTCAGTCGGAGGGCAACTGTTGTTTTGCTTATGCAGACCTGCTCTCATCCTCTTGCACCAGTGTTTTTCTTTCCACAATATATGGGTGGTAGGAAAGCCAGGAAAAAAAAAAAACCATCACAGAGGGAGATAATGTCATTCACTTTTCTCATGCTGGTTCACCTAGTGTCCTTGTCATCTTCCTTACTCCACAGGCTGCTCAAATCCATAGAGGCTTTCCAGAGCGCTGAGGGAGCCGACCTTTTCCTTGTGCCAGAGCAGAGATATTTGTAATTGGAAGCTCCTCCCCTGAGGAACAGCATGAGTCAAATGGAGGAAAGAAGGATTAATTATAGAAGTCCCACAAAGCTAGCTCACAGGGATGTGATTTGCCCTCATTTAAGGAGTAGCACATGGTTACCTTTCACCATATGATCATGCCGCCCATATGCCTCCCAAGCTACTGCTGTGACCACCAGCAAGGATGTTGTCTCTTCCAGAAATACGTTCTAAAGTGGAGACTGCAGCACAGGCCAGAAAAGCCTTCTGGAAGTCAATGACATAGGTTTGCCTATGTCAGACCAGACTTTAACCTGGCTTGCAGTGCTGCATAGATGTTGCATAACATACCTACGAATGAGCTCTGGGGAGTACAAAGCTGCCTACCTCACTTGCACAAAATAAATGCCTGACAGACAGCTGCTTTTCAGACCCTGCAGAAGTAAGCAATTATCTGCTATCACCTCAGAGCTACAGTGTAGGTGCGAGTTCTGTATGGTGAGGTGCCAGTATCCATAAGAGATCCCTCTGAAACTGGCAGAAATCCAGCTTGTAGGATTCTGACACTCTCCTGTCCCATCAACCAACACCTGTGCATAAGACCAGGGGTGTTAGAAACACCATTCAATGTCAGTGAGGTATCTCTCATATCAATGGCAAAAGATTTCTCTTAGTGTTACCTGAAGAACTGAAGTTATTTTTTATTTATTAATGCACTTGACCCAAAGTTACCAACAGGTTGTATCTTCATGGGCAAAACTTACTGTATTCAAATATTCATTCTCAAAGCTGGGGGGAGGATTTTTTTTCTCTCTTTTTTTTTTTTTTCCTTAACCATTTCTCCTATCAGTGAGATTTTAGCAATAAGGGGAAATATGTTTTTAGCACAAGAGCAATAAAATCCTCAATGTTGCATAAACTGCTGAGTAAACGCTGAGCAATAAAGAGGAAGCAATATGTTATTTAGACAAAAACCAGTAACTTGCCTAAGTAAGCAGAAGTCTTCCTTTGTTAAGCAGTTGCTATTGGGCTGATGTGGGACATTATTTCTTGTTGGTTTGTGTTGCAGTTATTGAGTTCCTGAATAGAATTACTCAGCAATAACCTTTTACCTTTTTTCCACGAATTTCCCAAATTTGTGTTATTTGCAGGAGAGAATTATGTCCTGCAGCAGGGATTTTTTTTCTTTGGCATTTAGTTGCACAGCATTCTACGGATAAATTCATTGCATTCAGGGTTTCCGATTGTGATTTAACACTGAAAATACTCTTCACCAAACAGAAACTGAGAATACCAGAATTTATCATGCCCATCAAGATGGATATGATAAATGGTGCTGACCCATCCTGAGGGCAGCTTGGCTTTTAAAAGAAGGAGATTATGGTATAATTGAAGAAAACTCCTACCAATACCCAGGGTATTTGGAAGCTGCTGAAAGGTCTGCTTTCATGCTTATCTTCCACCATGGATGCTCATTGACATAAGCAGCTGCATCCATCTTTCATGTACAGGGGCCAGCTTTGAGGCATCTTGGGGTCACTAAACCGCCTCCATGGACAGCAGTGAACTTCGGCTTAGACCAGCAGCCAGTCTGTCCCCAAAGAGTTATTTTTGTTGCCTCATTTTCTTATAGATTGGTTAAGATACTTGTGGATTCATTTATCAAAAGTGATAAGCAATCTGCCATGTGACTGGAAGTTGGGGTAAAATAGCATCACTACGAATCAAGCCCCTGAAACATAGCTGCACATTCATTACTTTAAAAAAATGGGGTTCTGTAACATTCAGAATCCCATTTCCAAGATGTTTACCCTGACTTTTATGGAGAGAAAGTGTGTATGGTCTGGGTTTTGTGCATACAATAAAGAAAGAAAAATCAGAATTGGACAGAGTGGTCACTATTGAAAGAACCCATCAGCTGTTCTGTCGCTTTATCAGAGATACTGAATAATTCTCAGACCTTGAAACAGAAAACAACTCTGGCAGCTTTTCAGGAAATCCTGGATCCCCACAAGTCAGTGTAAGAGCTATATAGCAAAAATAGGAGGACTTGTGTGGTTGCCAGTGCAAAACAAGTAGATGTAACAGCTCTGTCATGAGTGGGAATAAGAACAGCATACCTGCACACCAGCTGTGCACAGATCAAATCCTGGCTGTGTAGGAATGGCACCAGAAAAGGGTGAACAGCATTTCTTTACATTGTACTCTTCAGGAAGACAGTATCAGATAGACTCTCAATGAATATGGATCCGATGTTGTAAGAATTCAAGCATATTTTAAAGTGCTACTGACCAGCTTCAGGAAGAGGCATTGTAGTGGTGTGCTTCTTGAGGGGGATAAAGAATGCAGCTTGATCTGTGAAAGAAGTAATTACGGATGATGTTAAATATCTGCACATAGACTCATCACATCTCTTTGGCAGAAAGTTTGAGACTCATTTTAAGGTCTTACTTGGCTG